TTTTTATTTTTAAGTATAGTTGACATAGTGTTATATATTAGTATCAGGTGTACAACATAGTGTTTTGACAGTTGTATACATTACTCAGTGCTCACCGTAATTAGTCACCATCTGTCACCATACAATGTTATTAGAATATTATATACTTTATACCCTATGCTGCACTTTTCATCTCTGTGACTTATAAGTGGAAGTTTTTATTTCTTAGTCCTCTTTACTTCATCTGTCAACCCACCCTCTTCCCTGTATTTATGAGTCTGTTTCTGTTTTGTTTGTTAGTTTAGAAAACACTGATTTTTATGAAAGATTTATACATTTTTATAAGAAATCCAGAGGGTTAAAACGGACAAAAAATTGAGCTCATTTATTTACCAGCTAGGGAGATGAAAATGAGTTAATGGAGTTGAAGCTCTTGAAGAGTGTTACATTGCCTTTTCTAACAGTTTCCTGGTCAATATTGATACTTTATTTAAGAAAAAAAAAAGCTTAATTTGGTCAGTACTCAAAATAGATGCATTCTTAAACATTAAATTGAATTGTTAGTGAAACCACTCAAAGACCTGTAGTGTCTTTTATCCTTTCTGAATGAATATGAAATATTAAGATAAAGCCTTTTCCATAAATCTTACTGTATCTTGAAATACTTGGCAAAAGAAAAACGTGTTAACAGAATTAAAATATATCAGTGCCCAGGGGCACCTGGGTGGCTCAGTCAGTTGAGCATTAGACTCTTGATATCGGCTTGGGTCATGATCCCACAGTCATGGTGGGATGAGCCCCTTGTTGGGACCCACCCTCACTGTGGATCCCACGTAAGATTTTCTCTCTCTCCCTCCCTCTTCCCCCCCCTTAAAAAAATTAAAGATATATATATATATATAGAGAGAGAGAGAGAGAGAGAGATCTACATAGATAGATATATATATGTATATGAGTGCCCAAACTGCTTTTAGAATCTCTCACCAACATTTTCCATTTCAGTTGCTTTTTGTTGCTGTTTTGAGTTACTGAAGAAACATAGTTATGGACTTAACATTTAATGGCTGTGATTCTACCAAGAACAGTATTTAAAGAGATCAGTTTTAAACTAGAGATTTGTTTTAAATGTTTATTTTTGAGGGAGAGAGACACAGAATCTGAAGCAGGCTCCAGGCTCTGAGCTTACCAGCACAGAGCCCAACATGTGGCTCGAACTCACGAACATGAGATCATGACCTGAGCCGAAGTTGGACGCTTAACCGACTGAGCCACCCAGGTGCCCCTAAATTAGAGATCTTTAAAATTTGTTTTAAAAATAAGAGGTATTAAAAATAATCATAAAAATAAGAAATTTAACCAAGATAATTTTCCTATAGTATCTTCAGTTAGGGGAAAAAAACAAAACAATTTAGTCTAGTCTCCCCAACTATATATTGTGAACTTAATGGCAGGGATTGCCTTGGCTTTTATTGTCTTTTAACTAATTTTCACTGTACTCTCATTTTAGAGATGGGAAAACTCAGGCAGAAAGTTAAGAAAGCCAGTTTCATGTGTCTAATAAGTGTTCAAACTAAGATTTGAATCTAGGCAGTCAAGCTCTGTACAGAGACTCTGCTTGCTGGGTGTGTAACAGGAGCTTAGTAGGAACTGTATTTTATTATTTTTTTTTTTGAAGTTTATTTATTTGGAGGGCAGGGAGGGGCAGAGAGAGAGGGAGAGAGAATCCCAGGTAGGCTTCTCTGTGCTGTCAGTGCGGATCCCACAAACCGGGAGATCATGACCTGAGGCGAAATTAAGAGCCTGCCGCTCAACTGACTGAGCTACCCTGGCACCCCTGCATTTTTTTTAAATAGGGAATTTGATTGCTGTGGTACCAGATAACCTAGAGTAGGTGTGTATTTTTAAATGAGATGTAACTCTTGAATTGGCAGAGTGATCAGAGCTTGAACTTTACATGGGAAGGTTTTAGGGAAGTCAGGACAGGTATGAGATCCTATTCTCACCACTTGAGAACTTTTTGTATGTTTCTTTGGTATTTAATAATTTATTCTGTTATTATGGAGCTTGAAGTTTATTTAGGGAGTTGTACTTCATAGTACAACGTAGAAAGTGGTTAATATCATCAGAGGCATAGAAGAGGCAACCTCAGAGAGTATCTCTTCCTGCTTTGCAAAGGGTGTCCCAGAGCCAGCAGCTTCAGCTACATGTGGGTAGAATCTCGACCCCCTGTTCTAGACCTACGGAATCAGTCTGCATTTTAACCAGATCCCCAGGTGATTTGTATTCCACTAAAACTTGAGTAGCACCGATATAGTCCATGTCTATCGTCTTACAGGTTCATCACCTGTAAACAGACCCTGAAGGATGAAATAATTTAGCTGGTTAGTGGGAGAGCCAAGACTTGTGCCCAGAGCCCTGGCTTTGTGGTAGGGCTGGATCTGCACTTTGCCGTCCACAGTTAGGAGATACTTTGGAATTTCAGAGGTTTGTCTCTTATGTAGGGCTTCTTTCAAAGCTCAGAAAGGTTAAGGCACATGCAAATTCACCCCTTCCTTTGTGGGTTCCCCCCCCCCCACACACACACCTACAACCTTGTTGATTGTCACTTGCTTTAACTATATTATCAAACACATAGAGAAATCATGTTGATTATAACTTAGTTTTCTTCGTGTATATTCTCTTCCCAAAAGATCTGTGTCATTTCTAGGTACCAAAAGATACTCCTGTGTTCAGGACATATTTTATGCTCAGTTAAAAGTATTTTAAGCCCCTAGCCACTTCTTTTACCCATCATTTTCAGGAATAAATTGAGACTTAGGGACAAAGCTTGTTTAGTTATTATTTGAAGAGTAAACAGCCTCTGAAACAGTTGAAATGGATGATCTTGCTTTTAAATAGTGTTGTGTCTTCCTGACATAAATAGAAGGGAACATGTAAACAAGCATGCATTGCTGATTACTACTTTTGTCTTCACCTCTGTTTTACATTGAGTGTGATTTGCAAACATGCCCAGAATATTTCTACTCTGTTGCAAAAGTGATTCTCTGAAGTATTTTTATGAGACATCTGTGGCACAGTTTTTGAAAAGCATTCAAGATAAATCACTTTACACCTGACAGAACAGATTTGCTTTTTGCTTTCTTAAAAAATTGAGGTAAAGGGGCGCCTGGCTGGCTCAGTTGGAAGAGCATGCAGCTCTTGATCTCTGGTCCCGAGTTCAAGCCCCACATTTAAGTTAAGGTTACTAAAAAAAAATAACAATAAATAAAGATTTAAAAATTGAGGTAATACACATAGCATAAAACTTATCCTTTCTCATTTTTAAGTACACAGTTTAGTAGCAAGTATATTCATTTGTGCGACAGGTCCCCAGAACCTTTCACCTTGTAAAACTGAAACTCTCCACCTTAACTCACTTTTCTCTCCACCCCCTGGCAACCACCATTTCACTTTCTGTTTTTATGAGTTTCACTACTTTAGATATCCATATAAGTGAGATCATATAGTATTTGTCTTTTTGTAACTGGCTTATTTATTTTAATTTTTTAAAATTTATTTTGTGGGGGGTGGGAGAATGTGAGCAGGGGAGGGGCAGAGAGAGGGAGAGAGAATCTCAAGAAGGCACCACTCTGTCAGCACAAGTTCAATGCGGGGCTTGTACTCCTAAACTGAGATCATGACCTGAGCCAAAATCAAGAGTGATGCTTAACCGACTGAGCCACCCGGGTGCCCCTTTTATATTTTATTGTTAACATAATGTCCTCAGAGTTCATGTTGTAGCATGCATCAGAATTTCCTTCTTTTTCAAGGTTTAATAATAATTCTATTATATATGTATGTATATACATATATAAATATATAGAGACATTTGGGTTGCTTCCACCTTTTTTTGACTGTTGTGATTGATGCTGCTATGAAGATGGGTGTACGATGCTTTTTACTTTTTTTAAAGCAGCGTTTCTAAATCATCTGTGAGTTTGTTAGTGAGGGAAACTACCTAGTTAGAAAAATTGACTTTGATCATTTCTGTCTTGCTCCTTGTCTGCTAACTGTGGAACCTTAGGTCAGATATGTCTGCTGCACATCCTCATGTAAGAAAGGGAATCACATTCATAAAGTTGTAGTAATTCTTTTTTTCTTTTTTAATTTTTTTAAATGTTTATCTGTTTTTGAGAGAGAGTGCAAGCGAGCATGAGTGGGGGAGGGGCAGAGAGAGAGAGAGAGAGAGAGGCAGAGAGAGAGAGAGACACATAGACTCCAAAGCAGGCTCCAGGCTCTGAGCTGTAAGCACAGAGCCTGGTGCAGACTCGAACTCATGAACCATGAGATCATGCCCTGAGCCGAAGTTGGATACTTAACCGACTGGCCACCAGGTGTCCCATGTTGTAGTAATTCTTAAAGTGTAGCACACATGTAAAGAGGCCAGTGACTACTTATTAATCCATTTACCTTTACATTTGGGGGCACTTGAGCCATTTGCTTTCACATCTGAGTTTGTTGTTTTGGTCAGTGTTACCTGAAAAAAAAAATCACTGTAATATTAAATATTGGTATAATTCTTTAGCTGTACAGTATACAGATTTTTATCTTAAATAGTAACTTTAATGTTGAAACAATGAGTTAATAGAAGCTTGAATTTTACTATTTTATAATTTCCTTATTGTAGTTTTTAAACTATACAAACTAGTGAAAGGATCTAAAAGATAGCTTTTGTTTTGAAAGGAGGTTGTTAAAAGTCAAGTAAATAAGTATACAATCTGTGATTGTAACTCTTGGTTAATCTCTGAAGAATGGAAGAATGTGACTCATTGAAGGAGCTCAGTGCTGGTGTTAAACTTGATAGTTTATTGGTAGAGTTGAGAAAAGATGCCAGTCCTCAGATGCTACCTGTTAGATTTCTCATAGATACAGCTGTAATGGTTTGATGGGTGGCAAAAAAAGGCATTATTTATCTTGTCAAAAAATTTTAAGTCGTGTCTTTTTATATAATTTGGAGGAACTTAAGAATGTTTGTCTTCTAGGCTCATCAACAGAGCAGACGAGCAGATCGTTTATTAGCTGCAGGAAAATACGAAGAGGCTATTTCTTGTCACAAAAAGGCTTCAGGTGAGTATTCTTTTAAAGAAATACCAAGTCTAAACTGGAGGGCAGTTTCTTTTCTCCAGTATCTCTCAACAGTTTATTCAGAATGAAAGTCACAATAGTAGTGATGTGCTGTTGGCCTGCATATACAAGGTTGACAGTATTGACCTACCAGAATGTCAGTTTGGACTATTTTTCAAGTGAGTATCTTGGATTTCCCAGTTCTTCCTAACCTTGTCTTTCTAAACCATGAAGGTTGTATATGCAATACTGGTTGTATATGCAAAATGACTCCTGGACACAGCTTTCTGAACCTGGAGAACCCTAAAGATAGAAGTGATTGCAAGATATCTGTCAATATACATCTTAGTTACTATGGAAAATGGATTTCAGTTAGTTAGCCATTTTGGGTTATGAAAGTAATAACTAACTTAATTCTAACCATTTAATTTTCACTGGATTTCTAAGATGCTGATAATACTCTTCTGTGGTCTTAGTTTCCTTCTGAATATTTCATCTGTACATTCATGCCTATGGTGTCATGCTGATGATAGCTTGCTTTTAGGTATGAAATTTAGAATTAATGACTTCTTATCAAACACCTAATTTTATCCCAATCAGTCCCACAGTCTAGCATATGCTGAACTCAAATAGATTTTTGGGGTCTGTTTTGTACAGACTGGTTTCAGTTGGCTAATTAACCTAAAAGCTTTGAGGAGGGAGTGTTTTACTTATGCTGCATTAAATAATAGGCCACCTTTCTTAGAACAAATCTTATAGTCTTTCTGTTAGAGGAAAACACTTTCTTTTTCTTTTAGGCCACTGCAGTGATTAAAGCCATGTTCTTTCTTGGCAGAATATACCCCTCCAGTGTTGCCTTACTGCTGAAATACCACACAGTGGATCCTGGTTTGAATAAGTCCTTTTATGTTAGTGATTTTTGCCTACATGTCCATGATTTTTAGAAAAAAATTCGAGTCTTATTTAAAAAAAATTTTTTTTTAATGTTTATTTTTGAGACAAAGCACAAGCAAGGAGGGAGAGGGGCAGAGAGAGAGGGGGAGACACAGAACAGAGCCTCACACAGGGCTCGAACCCATGAACTGCGAGATCATGACCTGAGCCAAAGTCAGATGTTTAACTGACTAAGCCACCCATGCACCCCTCAAGTCTTATTTTTAAAGAATGAGTTTTGCCACTGAAGTGTACTCCTTCAGCTGTAGGGCTGAGTGCATACTACGTACCCCATAAGTCTTTGTGAATTTTTTATCTTTTTTTTTTTTTTTTTAAATTTTTTTTTTCAACGTTTATTTATTTTTGGGACAGAGAGAGACAGAGCATGAACGGGGGAGGGGCAGAGAGAGAGGGAGACACAGAATCGGAAGCAGGCTCCAGGCTCTGAGCCATCAGCCCAGAGCCCGATGCGGGGCTCGAACTCACGGACCGCGAGATCGTGACCTGGCTGAAGTCGGACGCTTAACCGACTGCGCCACCCAGGCGCCCCAAGTCTTTGTGAATTTTTATAGGGAGTTTTATGGGGACCTTTATGCAACATTAAACTTGGCAGCTAGTACTCTTTAAATCTTTCATAAACCATATTTTGTTATGAATGAAATTGTTATAGTCACTATACAGAAAAGTCAGTGTACTGGGTTGCCTGAGTGGCTCAGTCAGTTAAGTGGCACTTGATTTCTGTTCAGGTCATGATCTCACAGTTCATAAGTTCAAGCCACACATCAGGCTCTGTGCTGTGGAGCCTGCTTGGGATTCTCTCACTCTCTCTCTTTCTCTGCCCCTCCTCTGCTCACCTGTTGTCTCTCTCAAAATAAATAAATAAGCTTAAAAAAAAAAAAAGAAAAGACAATATATTACACTATTTAAAAAACAACAACAACAGTGTTGTGGGTGAATGCCCCAGTGAAGTAATACCTCTGGTTAAATAACCCAGAGTCTTTGTGGTTACATGTATATAAAATATATCACAATGGAGTGATCAGTATATGTTGTGCATTGAGCGTTAGGAGGTTCTGAATATATAAAAGGGAGAAACGTTTCTTTCATTCCTAATCTGTGTCCCTGTCTTTGAGGAATTAAAACCGATGTTGGGCTTTACACGCCTTTCCCCACTTTCTCAGTATCTACAATCTGTGACATTCTCAGGAGTAGAAAAGATAAAGACAGCCTTTTGGATCCCATTAGTTTTAATTAGGGAGATAGAACTCAAGTGTGATCAGTTAATCCCACTGAGCTGATTTGATTTGGAGTTTAGACTGGGTTAAAAATAGCCTTGTGTTTTTTAGAGTGGAGTTGTGAATGTAATGCTAATTTGAAAATTGACGTGGTTGGAATAAGCTTAGTGTTTTCTAAATTGACTTATATCTAGGGCTTATAGCAGAGGTGCTTTGGGAGGTATGGGTGTAAATATATTCTGAAGGGATTTATTTTAGAAATATGATAGGGAAGGGCGCCTGGGTGGCTAAGTTGGTTAAGTGTCCAACTTCAGCTCGGGTCATGATCTCACGGTTTGTGGGTTCAAGCCCATGTCGGGCTCTGTTCTGACACCTGGGAGCCTGGAGCCTGCTTCCAATTCTGTGTCTCCTTCCCTCTTTGCCCCTCCCCTGTTCACTTGCTCTCTCAAAAAGAAATAAACATTAAAAAAATATATAGGGAAGGTCATCATCTGAGAATGACTGATAAAAAGGAAAGCCTGAAATAGAGAACTTAAGGGCAAAGGAGGTGCCTCTTATCCAACTATGAAAGATCAGAGAAGATTCTGAGACATAAACATTTACCCTGAGATTACATAGCTAAACTCATAGCCTCTATACTTTGTGATCTTCTGATGGATTTTTTTTTAAGTAAGCTCTACACCTGACATGGGGCTTGACTCCAGGATTGTCAGAAAAATCTGTTGCTCAGAAACCTTGATTAGCAGCTATAGCTGGATAGAATTCTTGCTCATAGTCTTACACAGTCCACTTGCCTAAGTGGGTTTCTTTTCTTTGACAAACAGCAAAAAGAGCAAAAGCTTAAATGCGAAGTTGATAATAGCCATTTACAGTGCTTAGAACTCCAGCAGTTTAGAAGATGAGCAGACCTCAGAGTTCACAGTGTCTACATATACTTGGTTGAAACCTGTCTTGACCCGGACCTTCCCATGAAGCTATGGCAGCATGAAAATGATTCTGAGCAGATCAATCTTTGTCATTCAGAGGCAATATTTTGCTGTGTGTGTGAGATACTCAGTTGTGACTCTGGAACAAATTCATGACTAATCAGATGAAATTTTTTTCTTTTATTAAGACCCAAATTTTACTTATTTATTTTTACTTTTTTTTTTTTTTAAGTAATCTCTATACCCAGTGTGAGGCTTGAACTCACAACCCCAAGATCAAAAGTCACATGTTCTACCAAGTGAACCAGCTAGATGCCCCCTTAAGACCCAAATTGTAAATTAAAACATGGGAAATACTTTAAGTGGCAGTGTGACTCTTGATTTTTTTTTTTTTTGGCTTTGGAAACTCATGTCCTTGGGTATTCTCTACTGTTGTGTTATAGTTGCAAAGTTCTACAAAGGCAGTCCAGTTGGTTTAAGCCTGGTTTTATGAAACTGTTCCCTTTGTTTAAAAAGTGAATTTACAGCAAACTGTAGTTCAGATGGGGAGACGATGGTATGTGGAAATAATAGGGAAGTTCATCCATACTGTATCGCTGCAATAGATAAGAGTGTCTCAACAGCCTTAAACATGAAGAAAAAGACAAAGAAATAGTCTGTACGCAGTTATATAGACTTACTATAGGAATAAAAGACACACAAGTTGAGGAAAAAATTTAAGTATGGCTAGAGCAAAGGCTATATAGCCAACTGTTTTACTGTTGGGGAAGGACCATCCAGTTAATCCGTATCTTAAAGATTATGGTATAACCTAGCAGGCAACAGTTCTAAGTCATGAACTCAAAATCATTAAAATATTTGACTTTAATATGACAGAAACATTGCCCTGTAAGATCTGCAAAAAGGCAAAAAGGAACTTAATGTAGGGATGAGAGATACTGAGACATTGATAATAAGAAGTAAGAAATGGAGATTGTGTATGATCTATTATGATACTTGTTTATACTCTCTTTTGTTCCAGGCAGTACATAAAAGGTCTTCCAGAGGAATACAACAAAATACAAAATGTAATTAAAAATAAGCAGATGAGGAATCCTTAGAAAGATAAAATGAGGAGTGCCTGGAAATACTGTTCACAAAGTGTACCATGAGTTCTTGCTTATTTGATAGAAGAATTTGGCTTTAAGCTTTTTAGCAGAGAGGAAAAATGTATTTTTACAGTGACTGTTTAAATTCAAGTAAATTAAGTCACCCAGGAACTGATCCTAAGGTCAAAGAGAAGCTTAAGTTTATTACTTATTAGGACTATTTAGGGTCTTTAATAAAAGACAACAACTTACAATAAATATGTCAACAAGTTCTTAATGGCTTTTAACTACCTGATTCATGCATGGTAGGTTAGGTTGATGGGATAGCTCAGAAATAATTCAATAAAAGTAGTTTTGAAGGAGGCCAAAATGATATAGTCCAAGTATTCATGTGGTTAAAAAGACACCTATAATCAATCTCTTGACATTTTTGTGATCATAATAATAAGGTTTGATAAGGTTCTTGCTTAGTTTTAATCCTCCCTAATCCTATTTTTTTATTAGGCCATCTTTACTTTCTTAATTGTGAAATCCACAAGGATTTTGAAAAGCAGACTCCTCCTTCAAGGTGGGGTAGGGAATATCTACAGTTGATTACCACTGACTTCTTGGAGAAGTTAAGAATCCTGTCTTCTTGGGAGGCTTGGGTGGCTCAGTCAGTTAAGCATCCGACTCTTGGTTTTGGCTCAGGTTATGTTCCTGCAGCTTCGTGGGGTCAAGCCCCATGTCAGGCTCTGTGCTGGCAGTGTGGATCCTGCTTGGGATTCTCTCACTCTCCCCCTCCCTCTGCTCTTTCCGCAGTTGCACTGTCTCTGTCTCTCTCAAAATAAATAAATACAACTTAAGGGAAAAAAAAATCCTATCTTCTTAAAATCCCCACCTTGTTTGATTTTGGGAACAAGATAATTATGTAGCAGAATTGCTTGGAATTGCTTCTAAAACCAGTTCTTTTTTGTCATAGGAGTGTTGAAATTCTTCCTTTGACCTGTTGATTACAAAATTATGACACTCATTAATGTGCCTTTTTTTTTTAACCAGCATATCTTTCTGAAGCCATGAAGCTCACACAGTCTGAGCAGGTGAGACAATTTCTTAATATTTGCATAAGGGTTAGAAGGATTTTCTTGTGGATACTTGAATTGTGTGTAAAATAAAGTATTATGCCCTTCTCAAAACACTGTAGTCAAAATACATAAAATGGAAAAGATAGGAGTACTTCAGAAATTAAAACTCAGTGAACTACTGTCGACATCCCAGAGATGGCATGCAGAAACTTCTGTTCTGTTTTCTATTAGTTAGTTCTAGATCTCAGATTGAGTGTTTTCCTTAGAGACTTCTAGGGTCTTTCCTGATCATTAACTCATTTGAGTATTAGCTCACAGAAAGTAAGCAGGCCTGGCCAAGGGTCGACCAATTGGACTTCCCTTTGCTTGCCAAAAATAATTTAAATCTGAATTTGTCTTTTCCTGAATTCCTAAACAGTTCTGGTACCTTTATATTGGTTTCACCAATGGCTTTAAATGTTTTCCGTGTTAGGGGAGGGTGTACCTAGGTTTTGAAAATGCCTTCATCCAAAGATGATTTTCTGATTATGCAAGTGGCAGGGTACTTAGGAGATACTCAGTAAATGTTTGTCTAGTTGAATTAAGGAGATCTTTTCTGTGAGGGGATGTCAGTGGCAGGGAGAAAATGCCACTTCCTCAAACTGAACCAAGAAAATCTGAAAGTTGTGTTTTATTTCCTGCACTTCCTTTTGACAGTGTAGAAACTGCTCATGTTAGCCACATAATACATACATGCACTGAGCCTTCTGAGCCCCTTAATAAAAAGGGATTTTAGCTAGTTGTAGTATACATACCTAAAGCAGAAAGTTTTCTAATTTCAAGCTGAATACAAATGGCATTTAAGTTTTTAAAAATCGTATCAGATAGAATTCTTTTAAATTGCATTGTCATTTTTTTTTTAGACCAGTGTTTTTCTCATTTAGAAAATTTTTAAAGTACCCAGTGTGGGGGTGCCTGGGTGGCTTAGTCGGTTAAGCGTCTGACTTTGGCTCAAGTCATGATCTCGCAGTTCTGTGAGTTCGAGCCCCACATTGGGCTTTCTGCTGTCAGCATAGAGACTGCTTTGAATCCTGTCCCCTCCCCAGTCCCCGGCTCCTCCCTGCTCTTTATCTCTCTCTCTCTCTCTCTCTCTCTCTCTCTCTCTCTCTGTCCCTACTTTCAAAAATAAATGAAAACATTAAAAAAAATTTAAAAAGTACATAGTATGGTTCACATATTGCCAGGCAATATTTTAAACCAAATATTAAAGTTTGTTTCACATACTCTATAGTGAATATGTTACTTTTACAAGTAGAAAATTGTTAACAAAGTTTCCACAAATACTCACTGACAAAAAACACATTCAGCTTAGAAAATGTTGAATAGTCAACTGTTGAATAACTTGGGTCTTAGGGATGCAAGCCTCCTGTACAGTTGAAAATCTGCCTGTAATTTTTATACCCCCTCTCCCGAACTTAACTACAATAGCCTACTGTTGAGCAGAAGCCTTAATGATAACATAAACAGTTGATTACATATATTTTGTATGTTAGGTGATTATATACTGTATTCTTGCATGAATGTAAGCTAGAAAAAAGAAAATACTAAAATCACAAGGAAAACATTTAAAGTACTATCCTGTATTTGTCAATAAAATAAGTTTATGTGGTCTGTTTATGAGATGAATTGTCTGTTACCACCTATATCAGTACTGTCTTAACAGAATACAAAACTGTAGAAATTAATACGTATTACTAACACTAGACATCAAAAATGAAAGTGAAAAACTCATGTGCAGGTATAACAGTTCATGCACTGATGAAGTCGTAGCAGTGTGATTGCTTCATGGCAGCCTGGTGTAATCCATACTCTTGTTTCACAGTAGCCTAACCTCCACACCACTGTATGAGTCCTTATAAAGGGTTTATGGTCTACAGTATTACAGTCATCCATAATACAGTATTGGAAACATTATTAACATTTTTAAAAACTCACTTATGTGTGATGATAGGCCAATATGCAGTTTCTCCCAATTATGAGAGAGAGGCATACCTTATGGTAGTGTAATTCTCTGAAAGCAAACTTGTAAAATGGTAAGAAAACTTCATCACGACGCCCATGTGAAGGTAGACTGTTTGTTTGCACACAAGCCTTGCACGCGACATCCTACACGGTGAGTACTTAGGTGGTGATGGTGGTGGCCCAAAAACATCTCCCATGTTCTTGCAGCACAGTTACTATTCCACACGCACACATAGATAAGTTTACTAGCTGTATGGCATGATGATGGTTGACTGTTCATTAAGTGGAAGGAGATCACCAAGGTTGTCACGTTATAATAAAGTCTTTTTTTTTTTTGCTCACAAATCAGGTTGATGGGGCTCAGGCTCAGCTGGGTAGTCCTCCGGGGTCGAGGGCTGTCATGCGGTCAATGGTGGTAGCTGGTGGTGTCATCTCAGAGGTGTCTTCTCTGTCTGGTGCTGGGCTGGGAGGGCTCTGATGCTGGGTCTGAAACTGCTAGGGCTCCTCAGGCAGCGCAGCATCTCTCCTCATCCTCATCCTCTTTCATCTCTCTCTAATCTGTCCACATGGTGGTTGAGGAGAAGCCAACAGATAGTGGAAGTTCCACAGCATTGTCCCTCCGTCTGCCTTGTTCCTTGAATTGACCACAGAGGCCCACCCAGTTCGAGGGGAGGGGAATTAGACTCCATCTCTTGATAGGACTGTTCAAAAAGTTACAGACATGTTTTGTTTTTTTTTTTTTAATTTTTTTTTTTTCAGACGTGTTTTAAAATTTTTTTTTTTTTTTCAACGTTTATTTATTTTTAGGACAGAGAGAGACAGAGCATGAACGGGCGAGGGGCAGAGAGAGAGGGAGACACAGAATCAGAAACAGGCTCCAGGCTCTGAGCCATCAGCCCAGAGCCCGACGCGGGGCTCGAACTCACGGACCGCGAGATCGTGACCTGGATGAAGTCGGACGCTTAACCGACTGCGCCACCCAGGCGCCCCATTTCAGACGTGTTTTAAAACCACCTCACTGGGGCTGGACTGCCCTGGTTGGTCCACACCTCTGCTTTGCCTTTTGGCTGTGTGACCTTGGGCAAGTTCCTGAGCCTCTCTGTTCCTCAACTGCCATTCATTCTGTCATTTTTAAGTTCAGTTGATAATACAATGTTACATTAATTTCAGGTGCACAACATTGTGATTTGACGATTCTGTACATTATGCAGTGCTGACCATAAGTATAGTTCCAATCTCTCACCATACAGTGTTCTTACAATATTATTAGCCGTATTCCTTCTACTGTCCTTTTCATCTCCATGGCTTACTTGTTTTATACCTGGACATTTGTACCTCTTAATCCCTTTCACCTGTTTTATCCATCAGTCCACACCACTCCCCCCACTCCCGTGGCAGCCACCAATTCTCAGTATTTATGAGTCTGTTTCTGTTTTGTTCATTTGTTTCTTAGATTTCACATACAAGTAAAATCATAAGATATTTGTCTTTCTCTGACTTATTTTACTTAGTGTAAGATCCTCTAGGTCCATCCATGTTGTCACAGGTGGTAAGGTCTCATTCTTATGGCTGGATAATACGCTACTGTTTATATATACCTCATCTTTTTTTTTTTTAATGTTTATTTTTGAGAGATAGAGGCAGCAGAGGCAGTTCAGAGGTTCTGAACTGTCAGCATAGAGCCTGACGTCAGGGCTCAAAACCAAGAACTTTGAGACCAGGACCTGATGCTGAACCTACTGACCCACCCAGGCGCCCCTTGTACCACATCTTTTTTAATCCATTCGTCTACCCACAGATACAGATTGTTTCTGTATCTTGGCTATTGTAAATGTTGCAGTGAACACAGAGGTGTGGATATCTTTTCGAATTAGTGTATTTAGTTTCTTTGGGTAAATACCTAGTAGTGGAATAACTGGATTGTAGGGTTGTTGTATTTTTAAATTTTTGAGAACCCACCATACTGGCTTCCGTAGTGGCAACGCCAACTTAACATTCCCACCAACGGTGCATGTCCTGCGAGTATTTGAGTATTTTCACCATGTCCTGCGAGTATTTGTTATTTCTTGACTTTTCATAGCCATTCTGACAGGTGTGAGATATTTCATTGTTTTTTTATTTGCATTTCCCTAATGGTTAGTGATTTTGAACATCTTTTCATGTATCTGTTGGCCATCTGTATGTGTTTGGAAAAATGTGTACTCAGGTCCTGTGCCCATTTTTAAAAACCGATTGTTTTTCTTATAATGACTTTTATGAGTGCTTTATATAATTTGGATGATAACCCCTTAGTGGATACTTCCATTTGTGAATACATTGTCCCTTATGAAAAATAGGTTCCCTTTTTATTTCGTTGATGGTTTCCTTCACTGCAAAAGCTTTATATTTTGATACAGTCCCATGTGTTTTTACTTTTGTTCTTGAAGAGACAGATAAAAAAAAATCACTAAGACCAGTGTGAAAGAGGTTACTGCTTATGTTTTCTTCCAGGAGTTTTATAGTTTCAGGTCTCTCAGTTAGGTCTTCAATTCATTGAGTTTATTTTTTTTGTGTGTATGATGTAAGAAAGTGGTCCAATTTAATTGTTTTGCATGTAGTGCAAACACCAGTTTTACCAACACCATTTATTGAAGAGACTGTCTTTCCCCATTGTATATTCTTCTCTCCTTTGTCATGGATTTACTCTATGTGCATTTATTTTTGTGACTTCTACTCTGTTCCATTGATGTATATGTCTGTTTTTGTGCCATGCCATACTGTTTTGATTACATAGCTTTTGTAATATACTTGTGTGTGTGTGTGTGTATATACATACATACATACATACATAATATACTTTTATTTTGCAATAAAATCTGGGAGCATAGTACCTCCAGGTTTGTTCTTTCTCAAGATTGCTTTGGTTATTTGGGACTTTTGTGTTTCCATATACATTTTGGGATTATTTGTTCTAGTTCAGTGGAAAGTGTCATTGGTATTTTAGTAGGGATTGCACTGAATCTGTAGATTGCTTT